CTTTAGTTGACTTCGGGCTTCACAGAGGGAGGAGGAACATCAAAATGAGAAAGAGCCAAGAGGGGGAATAGAAGAGGGTTTCTCAGATGTAAATTAGACAGCCATACACGAAGGCATAGAAAAGGTAAGGTAAGATGAGTACTGTGAAAGTGGCTGACTATGACATAGAGTGGTACATCCTGGGCAAAGCATACTCATTAGGCACTAAATGTCTATAAACCGGTAGTTCACTTTAAACTACTATGAATAACCTGAAAAGAAACCACGAGAGAAATCGCCCTCGTCAGGGCGAATCACAACTTCTACAGATCCTTCATTGGAATGCTGGAGGGATGTCACAAGACAAGAAGATCCAAATCCAGAAAATCCTGAATACCTATGATGTAGACATACTCACAATCTCGGAAGCCAACCTTACAAATGACAAACTCTAATAATACCAATTCCCAGGTTACACCTTATACCTCCTACCTAAAGACCGGTAGGTGGCAAGCGGAATGTTGACTGGAGTAAAAGAAGTCCTCACATCACACTGCGAAATAATCAAGAGTATGAGCTCAATGCTAGTTATATGCGAAATAAACAGAATAAATGTTTGGAAATGTCACAAACACTTCAAGATATACGCGGTCTATAATCCATCCCAAAATAGACCCAATTTCGATCTTCCAAACATCTCACACACAACTGTAGTACTTGGAGACTTCAACATCCTTTCCACCAGATGGGGCTATAAGAACCTAAACACAGCAGCTAAGGAAATTGAAGACATGCTAAAAACCAGCCCTCTAGAATTTATTTAAAGCCATCAGGACCCTGCTACATATCTGCACTAAAATGGAACCAGAACAACTCCTGACTTACTCCTGCCTTCAAACGACATCAGCGAGAGTACACAACGCAAGGTAATTTCCGATCCTAATTCTGGTCACAAACCCGTCATTGCTAGTGTCACCATCAGCAGCAAATGCATGACATCGAAAATGCCAACCAAGCTATCATGGAACTTCAAGAAGGCTGACTGGTCTAAGTTCACAAACCTTTTGCTCTCATTACAGCCTCTGAGATGATTCTCAAACTACTCGAGAAGACGCACGACCAGGCATTACGACTAATTACTGGAGGGATAAAATCACCACCCACTGGTACAATTCTCCTGGTCACGGGGAACACCGCAATACACTCAATTATCAAATAGAGAGCCTTGATACTGTATGAGAAGGTACTGCACATTCCCATTTACAAATTGTTCAGCACTTACGAAAATAAGCCAAGATATCTGAAACTCAATCTGTCCTGATACAGAAAGACATAGAATTGAAGAAAGCATTACAAATTGATGGTAAACCAAAAAGCCTCTCTCTTCTCCAAAACCCATTAGCAGACACTGACGTACAATGTTGCACCCAACTGCTTGACCATTTCAGAAAAGCACAAACTCCTCCAGAACACTCAATGTAAACTATCCTGTAGATCAATCGCTCCAAGTCTTCACTGATTGGTCATACATAGAAAACCAATCAAACGTTAGTGCAGGTGTTTACTCTGAACTATTCAACACTGGTACAAAATAGATCCTCATTTGAAGGGGAATTAGAGACTATTAGGATAGCCCTATGCCAATTGTGCTGCTTGGATACGAAATTCATCAAAGCAAAAATTCTTTCGAACCCACAATTAGAACTAAATTCTCCTGGAAAGAGAGAACCGCCCAAAACATCCGATATAAACGAATGTAAAAAGCGCTAGCAGTTACTGTGAGAAAAAAACAAAACAGTAGTGTCTCAATGGATCCCTAGACACTGTGGCATTATAGGCACACTTGTTAAAATGGCGACAACAATTTTGAAAGGCATTGGCCGGCCTATGTCTTTCCACACAATGAAGAACTTAATCAGGAGAGAATTCAAGACCTCAAAGTGCAACGAACCTAATGCTCGAACAAAGGAGACGTGGACAGAGTGCAACGAACCTAATGCTCGAACAAAGGTGAAACAGTGGACAATTGCACTCTCCGACATAGCCGACTGGCCACGAATCGAAGCAGTTTCTGAGTTTAGGCTACGTATCGGACATGATTGCCTGGCGAAGCACCTTCGCAGAATAGGAGTATACACTCAGCCAACATGCGTCCCTATGTGACCTACATGAGGAAATGGGGAAGACCCACCTGATTAGGTGTCCAGCCCTATAGACAACGACAGAAACCCAGAGATACTGAAGCCTAAATGTATGTTCCCCCTCCCTCCCCCCGTTTGTGAAAGCCGAAGTCAACTAAGGGGCTAATGATAAATATCATAATGCCTACCATTTGAAATAATTATAAGTTAGAATAATATACATTGGATTTGTGATGGATATGTATCACTTTTAGTAAACTCTTGGAAACTTTGTTTAGTCATTGCAAAATTACCAATCGAAATTATTTGCATGATTTAAATAGTAAATGAATCAAAAAGGTTTGAAACGGTGCATTTTGGCCAAAATACGCTGACAATTAAATCAGCAAATCACACAACCTACTTTAATTAAATATATGAAGCATTGAGCTGTCCATTTCCACTTGAGGAATGGATTTCATTTAGGGATTTCCTAGTGGTCAATCAGGATCACCATCATCATTTACTTGCTGGCTACTGAGGTAAGAGAGTTCGTTGACATATTAAATTTTTCGTAGTTGACCATGCAAAATCAAGATCTTTTAGCATCACCTACAGCTAAAAACAAGAAAATGAAGTCAATATTTTATAAATTTGTATTGTAAATTAACCCCCCGGGTACATGATAATATTCTAAGCCAATAATAAATCGATCTATTAGGTTGACAACTAAGTCATTGCCGATTTCAAATAAGAAGGCAAATTCGGAATTTTTGTTTAAAAATATAACTTTATTCAATTAGATATTGGCCGTTCTTGTCGATGACCTTTTTCCATCGTTCTGGCAGAGTAAAAATTCCCCGTTCGTAAAATGTCTGGTCTTTGCTATCAAAAAACTGAATTAGGTGTGATCCGACATCATCCGCGTTGTTAAAAATTTGACCATTTAAAGAGTTTTGCATGGAACGAAACAAATGGTAATCCGAAGGCGCAAGGTCAGGGCTGTATGGTGGGTGTGACAAAACATCCCAACCCAGTTCCAATAATTTTTGCCGAGTAACCAAAGATGTGTGGGGCTTTGCGTTATCATGATGGAAAACAACACCCTTCCGATTTGATAATGCCGGCCGCTTATCTTCAATTGCATCCTTCAGTTTTTCGAGTTGCTCAACATACACATTTGAATTTATCGTTTGGTTCTGCGGCATGAGTTCAAAATGCAAAATTCCTTTGTGATCCCACCAGACTGACAGCATAATCTTTTTTGGTGAATCTCTGCTGCTTTTGATACTGTTTGGGCTGGTTGATCTTGCTTCACCCATGATCTCTTGCGAGTAACATTGTTATAAACTATCCACTTTTCGTTGCCAGTAACTAGGTACTTCAGAAATGGATCATTCTCATTGCGTTTCAGTGGCGGCGAATCACAGATGCTAATCCGTTGCGTCAAATGAATTTCCTTTAACTGGTGAGAGATCCATAAATCAAATTTCTTGACATAACCAAGGGTTTTTAATTTTTTTCAATGCATGTATGCGATACATTGAGCTTCTCTGCAATATCTCGTGTTGTGCTGTGACGATTTGAATCGATAATGGCCTTGATATGGGTTTCATCCACTTCGACTGGGCGGCCAGATCGTTGTGAATTTTTCAGTGAAAAATCACCGGAACGAAATCTTTCAAACCAATTTCGACACTGCCTTTCTTTTAAGGCTTCATCTCCACATACGGCACATAACTTCTTTTGTGCTTGCGATGCGTTATTGCCTTTTCGGAAGTAATACAATAAAATGTGTCGGAAGTGCACGTCCTGTTCTTTCATTTTTAAATTGGGATAAAAACAAAACTAAAGAACTAAACAAAACAAATTTTTTACTAATTAACCTAGAAGCCCATACAGTAAGAGAAAAATATAGGTTAGATGCTCTGGCCACGTTAACAAAACAAAAGAAAGTATAGAGTGAATCTGTCAACAAAAACGGCAAAGACTTAGTTGCCAACCCTATATTCTAACAAATTAGTGGAAGGAAGGCAAAAATGTTATTTAAGGGCATAGGAGTCTATCAGAACAAGATGTGTTAGCCAAATCGTGACTATGTTAACATCCTTTTCCAATATCAGGAATTTCAAATTGTTACGCACCTGATGAGATCATTTTGCTCAGATATGCCAGGAAATTCTATTAACTGTTCAACTTTTAGCCCATCCTACTGCCAATTTATCAGTAGCAATATCCTTAATGAATTAAAAGGTCTGCTATTGAAAATTCAGGCCGTTTAATTTCTTCAATAGAAACCCCACAAAAAAGTCTAGACGACTTATAGGAGTTGTTTCTTTTATTTTATCCCAAGTGGGCAAAATGAAATCTGCTAGTCGGTGATGCACGTTTCTGGGAAAGGCACTTTAGTCTCTGTCGGGATTTTCACAACCTGGTCTCGCGACAACGTACATGTGGAGATAGTCTTCACCATGAAGAAATAGGCACGTATCTCTATTTTGGCAAGCATCCCCATGTTGGCATGGATTGTTGGGATGGACGTAATCACATGTCACTTCTGGGCAGTGGGGCCATTTTTTACATCGTTCAGAAATCCTAGATGCCTTTTCCTCATATGCAATCACCGGTTCAAGTAATTTCTTCACCTTGTCATATATGAAAGTTGGATATCCGCATTCGGCTATTTTTTTGGCAAAACAGGTCATCTGAAATGCGATAGATGAAAAAGTTTAGGCCATGCTAATGCTTTTTTCGGCAAAATGCCAACAAAAAACATACCCATTTATATGGGAAAGTGCACCTCTCGCTGTTCTTGTGAAATGCATACCTTGAAGCAGCCATAGGAGCGGCTAAATAATGCTCTTGAACTTTGTCAAAGTCATCATCTGTCATCCCACGATNATGAAGAACTTAATCAGGAGAGAATTCAAGACCTCATAGTGCAACGAACCTAATGCTCGAACAAAGGTGAAACAGTGGACAATTGCACTCTCCGACATAGCCGACTGGCCACGAATCGAAGCAGTTTCTGAGTTTAGGCTACGTATCGGACATGATTGCCTGGCGAAGCACCTTCACAGAATAGGAGTATACACTCAGCCAACATGCGTCCCTATGTGACCTGCAGGAGGAAATGGGGAAGACTCACCTGATTAGGTGTCCAGCCCTAAAGACAACGACAGAAACCCAGAGATACTGAAGCCTAAATGTATGTTCCCCCTCCCCTTTGTGAAAGCCGAAGTCAACTAAGGGGCTAATGATAAATATCATAATGCCTACCATTTGAAATAATAATAAGTTAGAATGATATACATTGGATTTGTGATGGATATGTATCACTTTTAGTAAACTCTTGGAAACTTTGTTTAGTCATTGCGAAATTATCAATCGAAATTATTTGCATGATTTAAATAGTAAATGAATCAAAAAGGTTTGAAACGGTGCATTTTGGCCAAAAATACGCTGACAATTAAATCAGCAAATCACACAACCTACTTTAATTATATATATGAAGCATTGAGCTGTCAATTTTCACTTGAGGAATGGATTTCATTTAGTGATTTCCTAGTGGTCAATCAGGATCACCATCATCATTTACTTGCTGTCTACTGAGGTAAGAGAGTTCGTTGACATATTAAATTTTTCGTAGTTGAACATGCAAGATCAAGAACTTTTAGCATCACCTACAGCTAAGAACAAGAAAATGAAGTCAATATTTTATAAATTTGTATTGTAAATTAACCCCCCGGGGACATGATAATATTCTAACCCAATAATAATAAATCTAACAAATTAGTGGAAGGAAGGCAAAAATGTAATGTAAGGGCATAGGAGTCTATAAGAACAAGATGAGTTAGCCAAATCGTGACTATGTTAACCTCCTTTTCCAATATCAGGAATTTCAAGTTGTTACGCTCCTGGTGAGATCATTTTGCTCAGATATGCCAGGAAATTCTATTAACTGTTCAACTTTTAGCCCAACCTACTGCCAATTTATCAGTAGCAATATCCTTAATGAATTAAAAGGTCAGCTATTGAAAATTCAGGCCGTTTAAGTTCTTCAATAGAAACCCCACAAGAAAGTCTAGACGACTTATAGGAGTTATTTCTTTTATTTTATCCCAAGTGGGCAAAATGAAATCTGTTAGTCGGTGATGCACGTTTCTGGGAAAGGCACTTTAGTCTCTGTCGGGATTTTCACAACCTGGTCTCGCGACAACGTACATGTGGAGATAGTCTTCACCATGAAGAAATAGGCACGTATCTCTATTTTGGCAAGCATCCCCATCTTGGCATGGATTGTTGGGATGGACGTAATCACATGTCACTTCTGGGCAGTGGGGCCATTTTTTACATCGTTCAGAAATCCTAGATGCCTTTTCCTCATATGCAATCACCGGTTCAAGTAATTTCTTCACCTTGTCATATATGAAAGTTGGATATCCGCATTCGGCTATTTTTTTGGCGAAACAGGTCATCTGAAATGCGATAGATGAAAAAGTTTAGGCCATGCTAGTGCTTTTTTCGGCAAAATGCCAACAAAAAACATACCCATTTATATGGGAAAGTGCACCTCTCGCTGTTCTTGTGAAATGCATACCTTGAAACAGCCATAGGAGCGGCTAAATAATGCGCTTGAACTTTGTCAAAGTCATCATCTGTCATCCCACGATCTATATTGGGAAGTGTCGAAGGCGAGTATTTGTGGATCAACTCCATAACCTCTAGCGTTTTCCGGCATAACTTAATCTGAGACAACAAATTCTCTCTTCCACATGTGGCGCAGGTTACAAATATTCCCTTCACAAATATAGGATAAGTGCATCGGAAACAGAACACATGGCCACAGTCAAGGACCACAGGGGAGATGAAGCTGCATGGTAAATAATAATTTAAGATTAAATATTGCATATTGAATAATTTTAAGTAGTTGTTATTATTACCCTAAATTACTTACATTCCTGAGCAAATTCTGCAAGTAACTATATTCTTTAGTTTAGTAATAAGTGACTCAATTGTGGTCATTCCTCAATTCCAGGTAATAAAGCAAGGTTTTCACGTGGGATTAGCGTGACAAATAACGTTCAAATCTATCCTGAATCAATAAGTTAACCAAGAGGGAAATGACCTTGGGCAACGTTTGTATCACGCTTATGCTAGGCTGGAGACAATAGTTATAAAAGAATTATGATGAGTAATTTAATTACTCAAACGCCCACAATTTCGTATTTACTACTGCATCAATCGATCAGGCACTTTACATCGTTTGAAGATTCGCCTTGTTACTTTAAGAGGAGAATGTCTTTTCGGTTCATTAAACCTTCACCGTATTTATTACGATGGACTTGAACCATCGCAAATAGCTGTCCATCGTCTTCCAGGATTCCTTCGCAATCAATTGGTGAGTACTTGGTAGGGAGGGAGGGAGGGAGGGGGGGGAGGGTAGAGAGTTTAGGATTACAGACAATTCAATATATTATTCAGTGAATGAAAGTGGAGAATTTGGAGAATTTATATCCAGAATCAAACAGGTCAAGACAACTGCAGAGGGAGTGGTTGAAAGCAAAGAAGTGCCAGTTACTGTTTGTTTTTTTCCGCTTGAACTGACTTAATAATTTGGTTAGCCAGAAATAGTTATTTATACCAAATGACAGGCGTTTTGATGGTTATCATTGGCCCCTTAGCTGACTTTGGGCTTCACAGAGAGGAGGAGGAGGAACATCAAAGTGACAAAAGTCGAGAGGGGGGCAGAACAATAAACCATAGATGTAAAAGAGACAGACAGACAGACACAAAGTCAGGGAAAAGGTAAGGTGAGTATTGTAAAAGGAGTCGAATATGACATACAGTGGGGTGATGGTAGTTTGAAGTCAGAAATTAGCTGCCAGTTAATAGACTTTTGCCGCATGAGTATACATTGCCCAGGGTGCACCACGGGGTGCACCACGTGGAGGTAAGTGTATCGCACACCCCATGAGACAGACATAAAGGTAGAGAAAAGGGTAAGGTAAGTCGGGTTATTGTAGTTTGATGTCAACTGCCGGTTTTTAGACATTTTAGTTAAATGATAGATAGGATATTCAATAAGTGACATCTGACATCGCCGATACTAACGATCACGAGTGGCCCACCGACACACAATAATTGAGGGTTCTAATTGTGACACAAAGACCTTTTCATAAAACCTTTCTAGGTAATAATAAAGTCTAGGAATCAAAATATCGGTAAGTCTTCATAGAGCAGATGGAAAAATGGCCGAAATGTGTTAGAACATAGAATTTAGGCGAACATTCTCGCGTGTTATTAAAAATTTGGGATCACTAAAACGGAATTTACCAGCTTTACCCGGAATAAATTAAAATTATAGATTAAATACACTTCATGGAATGAAGAAAGACAATTAATAAACTCGAAATTGATCATCTCTGCTATTAGTCTATGAATCCGACCATTCTTATTACTTGAATTACTCTTTTTTACTTTTCGAATGCCTCTTAAATCAGTCTTAAATCTGTTTTATCGCTGGTAGGACATCATTCCTCCTCAAAATTGGCAATTTTGTGGGAACAAAAAATAGCCAAATAGATCATCTAATTGTCATTAAAGCTGGCTAATGATAACTTTCAAAACGCCTGCCATTTGAAATAAATAAATTGTCATTAAAGCTGCAATTTTATAGGCTTGGTTGAATGCACTTTAAGAGATCAATTTATTAACAAACTTACAAAAGAAGAACCAAGTCTAACGAACATATTGCTAATGCTAATGAATGGAGGAGAATAAGTTCCAATGAATATGACCTTCAGACTTAAACTATAAGGCTGTTAAAGTGCTATAAACCATTATTTATATCAAATACCAGACCTCATTTTAGTTATCATGGGGTGCGCGATAGACTTACCTCCACGTGGTGCACCCTGGGCAACGTTTACTCATGCGGCAAACAAGTCTATTAATCGGCAGTTGACCTATGACTTCAAACTACCATCACCCCCACTGTATGTCATATTCGACCACTTGCACAGTACTCACCTCATCTTTCATCTACCTCTGTGTCTGTCTTTTTTACATCTTTAAAACACTCTTCTGTTTCCCTTCCCTCTCGACTTTTTCGATTTAAAGTTCGCCTCCCTCTGTGAAGCCTGAAGTCAACTAAAGGGCTAATAATAACTAACATAAAGCCTGCCATTTGGTATAAATAAATAAATGTTAGNCCTCCACGTGGTGCACCCTGGGCAACGTTTACTCATGCGGCAAACAAGTCTATTAATCGGCAGTTGACCTATGACTTCAAACTACCATCACCCCCACTGTATGTCATATTCGACCACTTGCACAGTACTCACCTCACCTTTCATCTACCTCTGTGTCTGTCTCTTTTTCATCTTTAAAACACTCTTCTGTTTCCCTCCACTCTCGACTTTTTTCGATTTAATGTTCGCCTCCCTCTTGAAGCCTGAAGTCAACTAGAGGGCTAATAATAACTAACATAAAGCCTGCCATTTGGTATAAATAAATAAATGTTAGATATCATTTGCCCTCTAGTCGAATATGGCATACAGTGGGGACATGGTAGTTTCAAGTCAATTGCCAGTTTATTGCCTTTTATCCCCTTTGAGTATACGTTGTCTAGGTTGCACCACGTGGAGGTAAGTCTATCGTACACCCCCCTTTGACTAATTATAGGTAAACGCAAAGTCGGGCAGACTTCTTTTCTCTCCATTCGATGTAACAAAAAAGAGGATTTGAAAGCCATGCATTCTTTTGTCCAATTCGAGTTTAGTTTATGCGCTATTTTTTAAGGCAAAACTATTCTTTAATCAAAATGATAGTAATGGCGTTTTTTATTTTACCCGCCTCCTCGCAAATGGCCCCGTCAGCTTGTGTCTGGGAGTGACACTTTAACGAGATTACCACCTGGCAAGCAAAAATACTCAATCAATTTTAATTCTCACTCCATTTTAAACCCCAAATATTGCCAAGTTTCTTATTAAATTCGATCTAAATAATTCATCTTAAAATTAAATTTGCTATCAATATGAGGATGTGAAGGGAGTTGCAGTAATCATACTTGTAACATGCCTTAAGTTGGTTAAATAGCTGTTGTCTATTGTGGTATATATATTGGCTTTAAATCATCCAAATAACGGTATCTAATTCACTCAATTTGGGATTCAACTTCACTCTTGACTAAAATAATCGCCAGCATTAACTGTCTTTTTTATCAGTCCCCC